CAAATAAATGAACCACAATCCCAAAGGAACCAAAATCCTAAATAATGAATGAGGATCCCAAATGAACCAGAATCCTAAATAAGGAACCGGAATCCCGAAGGAACCGGAATCCTAAATAATGAACCGGGATCCCAAAGGAACCAGGTTCTGATCCTAATCCTGGTTCTAATCCTGCTCCCGCTCCTAATCCCGATCCTGCTCCTAACCCTAATCCTGCTCCTAATCCTGGTCCTAATTCCAGTCCTGATCCTAATCCTGCTCCTGCTCCTAACCCTAATCCTGCTCCTAATCCTGGTCCGTCTCTTAATCCTGGTCCTAATCCCAGTTCTGATCCTAATCCCGGTCCCTCTCCTAATCCTAAACCTGGTTTTATTCCTGATCCTGTTCCCAAACCTGGTCCTAATTCCAGTCCTGATCCTAATCCTGATCCTAATCCTGGTTCTAATCCTCATCTCTCTCCTAATCCTGGTCTCTCTCTTAATCCTGGTTCTGATCCTGCTCCTGCTCCTAAATCCTGGCCCTTGTCCTGATCCTAATCCTGGTCCTGCTCCTAATCCTCATGGTGCTTCTAATCCTGCTCCTAATCCTGGTTCTAATCCTAATCCTCATCTTTCTCCTAATCCAGCCCCTGATCCTAATCCCGGTTCTAGTCCTGCTCCTAACCCTAATGAATAATTCCATCCTGGTCCTGATCCCAATCCTGGTCCTGATCCTAATCCTGATCCTGGTTCTAATCCTAATCCTGGTTCTAATCCCAGTCCCTCTCCTAATCCTGCTCCTAATCCTGCTCCTAATCCTAATCCTGGTTCTAATCCTAATCCTCCTACTAATCTGGGTCCTGACCCTAATCCTGGTCCCAATCCTGCTCCTAATCCTAATCCTGATATTTCTCCTAATCCCGGTCCCTCTCCTAATCCTGGTCCTAATCCTAATTTTTCTCCTAATCCTGGTCCTGCTTCTAGTCCCAGTCCCCCTCCTAATCCCAGTTCTAATCCTAATCCCGGTCCTGATCCTAATCCTGATCCTGTTCCTAATCCTAATCCTGGTCCCTCTCCTAATCCTGGTTCGAACCCTAATCCTTTTACTAATCTGGGTCCTGCTCCTAATCCCGGTCCTGATCCTGGTTCTAATCCTAATCCTGGTCCTGATCCTAATCCTGGTTCGAACCCTAATCCTTTTACTAATCTGGGTCCTGCTCCTAATCCCGGTCCTGATCCTGGTTCTAATCCTAATCCTGGTTCTAATCCCAGTCCTGCTCCTAATCCTGGTGCCTCTCCTAATCCTGGTTCTGATCCCCATCCTCCTCCTAATCTGGGTCTTGATTCTAATCCCGGTCCTAATCCTGGTCCTAATTCCAGTCCTGATCCTAAACCTGCCTCTAATCCTGGCCCTACTCCTAATCCTGGTTCTAATTCTGATCCCGCTCCTAATCCTGGCCCTTGTCCTAATCCTGGTCCTGCTCCTAATCCTAATCCTGCTCCTGGTTCTAATACTACTCCTCATCTTTCTCCTAATCCCGCTCCTAATCCCAGTTCTAATCCTAATCCTGCTCCTAATCCCAGTTCTAACCCTAATCCCACTCCTAATCCCGCTCCTAATCCCAGTTCTAATCCTAATCCCGCTCCTAATCCCAGTTCTAATCCTAATCCTGCTCCTAATCCCAGTTCTAACCCTAATCCCACTCCTAATCCCGCTCCTAATCCCAGTTCTAATCCTAATCCCGCTCCTAATCCCAGTTCTAATCCTAATCCCGTTCCTAATCCCGGTCTCTCTCCTAACCCTAATCCCGTTCCTAATCCCAGTTCTAATCCTAATCCCACTCCTAATCCCAGTTCTAACCCTAATCCCGCTCCTAATCCCAGTTCTAATCCTAATCCCGCTCCTAATCCTGGAACGAGGGAATCCCTCCCGACATCAATCCTGAATTTTCCCTCCCAAATTCAAGCCGCGATCGAGATCGGAACGATATGCAAATAAGGGGGTGTCGCTATGCAAATTGTATGCAAATGAGGCGCTGATCCATCTCAATTCTATGCTACTAAGACGCATCAATATCAGAATGATATGCAAATGAGGCGGTATCGATATCAGAACTGTATGCAAATGAGGCTCTGTCAATATCAGAATGATATGCAAATGAGGCTGTAACAAGATCAGAATGATATGCAAATGAGGCGGTATCGATATCAGAACTGCATGCAAATGAGGCGATATTTAATCTCAGTTCTATGTGAGTAAGACTGGATCAATATCGGACTGATATGCAAATGAGGCAGTATCGATACCAAAACTATATGCAAATGATGTGGGGTCAATATGCAAAATGTATGCAAATGAGGTGCTAATCCATATCCATGCTGTGCGGATACGATTGGATCGAGACCAGACTGATATGCAAATAAGGTATTGATATCAGAACTATATGCAAATGAGGCTGCACCAATAGCAATATGATATGCAAATGAAGGCGGTATCAATATCAGAACTGCATGCAAATGAGGCGATATTTAATCTCAGTTCTATGTGAGTAAGACTGGATCAATATCGGACTGATATGCAAATGAGGCTGCACCAGTATATATCAGTATGATATGCAAATGAGGTCGTATCGATATCAGAACTATATGCAAATGAGGCCATGCCAATATCAATACGATATGCAAATGAAGCACGATCAATATCAGAATGATATGTAAATGAGATTGCACCAATACCAGAATGATATGCAAATGAAGCACGATCAATATCAGAATGACATGCAAATGAGATCGCACCGATATCAGAATGATATGCAAATAAAGCTGGATCGATATCAGGACTCTATGCAAATTAGGCTGTGCCCATATTAATATTATACACAAATGAGGTGGTATCAAGATCAGAACTGTATGCAAATGAGGCACTGTTAACACCAGAATGATATGCAAATGAGGCTGTATCGATATCTCAGCGATATGCAAATGAGGCAGTGTCAATATCAGAGTGATATGCAAATGAGATGGTGTAAATATCCAAGTTGTATGCAAATGAGGCACTATCAATAACAGAGTTGTATGCAAATGTGATTAGATAAATACCAATAGTATATGCAAATGAGGCTGTATCGATACCACAGCGATATGCAAATGAGGCACTATCAATAACAGAGTTGTATGCAAATGTGATTAGATAAATATCAACAGTATATGCAAATGAGGCTGTATCGATATCACAGCGATATGCAAATGAGGCACTATCAATACCAGAATGATATGCAAATGAGGCTGTATCTACACCGACAGTATATGCAAATGAGGTTGCATCAATATCAGAATATGAAAATGAGGTACAATCGATATCAGAATCATATGCAAATGAGACTATCGATACCAGAACAATATGCAAATTAGCCACTATCGATATCAACAGTATATGCAAATGAGGCTGTATTGATACCAGAATAATATGCAAATGAGGTATTTTCTCTATCACAACTGTATGCAAATGAGGCGGTATCAACACCAAAAATATATGCAAATGAGGTTATACTGATAGCCAAATTATATGCAAATTAGGCTGGATCGATACCCAAATGATATGCAAATGAGGCATGATATCTATCACCATTATATGCAAATGAGGCACTACCAGCACCAAGAGCTTGTATTGACAGCAGGATGGTATGCAAATGAGGTGGGATCAATACCCAAATGATATGCAAATGAGGCCGAATATCATTTTACATCAACCAAACCCAAAAATTCAAATCCATCCTCATTAAAATTCAAATTTTTTCCCCTCATTACCCAAAAATTCCCACAATTCCTTTCGGGATTTTTTTGGGATTTCCACCCAAAAAATCCCCAAAAAATCCCCCCAAAAATGCGAATAAATCCCTAAAAAATCCTAAAAACTCCTAAAAATCCCAAAAACCCCAAAAATTCCGAAACAATCCCATAAATCCTAAAAAAATCCCATTAAAAAAAAACAGAAAACCCCCCAAAAATCCTAAAAAAATCCTTACCCACAATTCCTTTCGGGATTTTTTTGGGATTTCCACCCAAAAAATCCCAAAAAAATCCCCCCAAAAATGCGAAAAAATCCCTAAAAAATCCTAAAAACTCCTAAAAATCCCAAAAACCCCAAAAATTGCAAAAACCCCAAAACCCCAAAAATTCCGAAACAATCCCATAAATCCTAAAAAAATCCCATTAAAAAAAAACAGAAAACCCCCCAAAAATCCTAAAAAAATCCTTAAAAAATTCCTAAAAAAACCTAAAAAATCCCCAAAAAATCCTTAAAAAATCCTAAAAAACCCCAAAAACCTCAAAACCCCCAAAACCCCAAAAATTCCGAAACAATCCCATAATCAGGGGGGGCACACCAAAACCCTCGGGGGCACCCCAAAACACAATCCCCAAAAAATCATAAAAAAACCACTAAAAAATACCAAAAAAATCCTAAAAAATCCCAAAAACCTCAAAAACCCCAAAACCCCAAAAAATCCTAAAAAATCCCCCAAAAAATCCTAAAAACTCCTAAAAAATCCCAAAAAATCCTAAAAAATCTCAAAAAAATCCCCAAAAATTCCAGAAATCCTAAAGAAATCCCAAAACCCCCCAAACCCCCCGAAAAGTCCCCAGCAAAAACCCCAAAACCCCAAAAATTCCGAAACAATCCCATAAATCCTAAAAAAATCCCATTAAAAAAAAACAGAAAACCCCCCAAAAATCCTAAAAAAATCCTTAAAAAATTCCTAAAAAAACCTAAAAAATCCCCAAAAAATCCTTAAAAAATCCTAAAAAAATCCCTAAAAAATCCTAAAAAATCCCAAAAACCTCAAAAACCCCAAAACCCCAAAAAATCCTAAAAAATCCCCCCAAAAATCCTAAAAACTCCTAAAAAAATCCCAAAAAATCCTAAAAAATCCTAAAAAATCTCAAAAAAATCCCCAAAAATTCCAGAAATCCTAAAGAAATCCCAAAACCCCCCAAACCCCCCGAAAAGTCCCCAAAACTTACGGAGGACGGCAAACCCGGCGGAACCTTCCGGACTTTTTTTGTCTGAACTTCTGGAAAAAAGGGGAAAAATGGGATTTGGGGTTTTTGGTTAGAGGGGATTTTTGGAGTTTTCATGAGGTTTTGGGGATTTTGGGGTTTCTTTGGGGTTTTTGGGGGGTTTTGGGATTTTTTTGGGACTTTTTTGGGGTTTTTTGAGATTTTTTTAGGTTTTTTGGGGGATTTTTTAGGATTTTTTAAGGATTTTTTTATTTTTTAGGATATTTTTAGGAATTTTTTAGGATTTTTTTAGGATTTTTTGGGGATTTTTTGGGATTTTTCAGGATTTTTGGGGGATTTTTTGGGGATTTTTTGGGGATTTTTTTTATTTTTGGGGATCTTTTAGGATTTTTGGGTGTTTTGGGTTTTTTGGGGATTTTTTTAAAAGGGTTTTTTTAGGATTTTGGGGGATTTTTGGGGGTTTTTAATGGGAATTTTTTTTTAGGATTTTTGGGATTTTTGGGGGATTTTTTTCAGATTTTTTGGGATTTTTTTGGATTTTTGGGATTTATGTGATTTTTTGGGGATTTTGGGGGTTTTGGGGGTTTTATGGCGTTTTTAGGGGGTTTTGGGGCTTTTGGGATTTTTGGGATTTTGGGGGTTTTTTGGGACTTTATGGGATTTTTGGGGGATTTTTTTAGCATTTTGGGGGGGGGTTGGGGATTTTTTGGGGATTTTTTAGGATTTTTTTAGGATTTTTGGGGGATTTTTAAAAAATTTTTTAGTATTTTTAAAGGATTTTTTGGGGTTTTTTGGGGATTTTTTGGAATTTTTTTAGGATTTTTTTATCATTTTTGGGAATTTTTAGGATTTTTTTGGGTTTTTTTAGGATTTTTTTATTTTTTTAGGATTTTTTGCTGATGTTTTAGGATTTTTTAGGATTTTTTAGGCTTTTTTTGGATTTTTTTGGGGGTTTTTTAGTATTTTTTGGGGTTTTTGGGGTTGGGGTGGGAATATGGAATTGGGATTTTTTAGGATTTTTTTAGGATTTTTTGGGGGATTTTATGGGAATTTTTTAGGATTTTGGGGTTTTTATGGGATTTTTTCAGGATTTTTGGGGGTTTTGTGGTTGGGGTGGGAATATGGGATTGGGATTTATGGGATTTGGGGTTTTGGGGTTGCTCACCCATGGAGGAGCCGTGCAGGGGTCTCTGGGATTTATGGGATTTAAGGGATTTGTGGGATTTGGGGTTGTGGGGTCGCTCACCCATGGAGGAGCCGTGCAGGGGTCTCCGGCGCGCGCTGCCCCCGTACTGGTAGAACTGGGAGCCCGGCTTGCTGGGGGACAGCGCCCCGGGCGTGGCCAGCTCCATGTCCCCTCCCAGCAGGCTCTGCTGCACACGGAACACGCGGCTCTGCATCCGACCCCGACCCTTAGCCCAATCCCAAACCTGACCCTGATCCCAACCCCAATCCCAATCCCAACCCCGATCCCAATCCTGATCCCGATCCCAATCCCAACCCTGATCCCTATCCCAATGCCGACCCCAATCCCGACCCAAATCCCAATCCCAATCCTGGCCCCAATCCTGATCCCAATCCTGATCCCAACCCCGATCCTGATCCCGATCCCAATCCCAATCCTGACTCCAATCCCGATCCTGACCTTGATCCCAATTCTGATCCCAACCCCGATCCCGATCCCGTTCCCAACCCCAATCCCGACCCAAATCCCAATCCCAATCCTGGCCCCGATCCTGATCCCGATCCCAACCCCAACCCCAATCCCAATCCTGATCCCAGTCCCAATCCTGATCCTGATTCCAACTCCAATCCTGATCCCGACCCCAATCCCAATCCTGAATCTGATCCTAATTCTGATCCAAATTCTGCGATCCTAATCCTGATCCTGACCCTGGTCCTGATGCAAATCCCAATCTCAATCCCAATTCCGATCCCAATCCCGATCCTAATCCCAACCCCAACCCCAACCCCAATCCCAATATAATAGAATGCAATATAATTAATAAGGAATTAAATGTCTGGGGGTGGGGATTGGGATGCAAGGGGTTAAATTGTATAAAATCGATATAAAATAATGTATAAAATCAAATATCTCAAATACGGGCAATGCACAGAGGATGGGAAGTAGAAAATATAGAATGTGTTAATTAGCTAATGATTCATTAGGATGATTATATTTGGATTCTATAGGAGTGTGCTTTGTATAGAATATCATGTATAGAATGGATTAAATATGAAATATTAAACATTGAATATTGAATATTAAATATTAACTATAAAATATTAAATTAAATATTAAATATTAAGTATTGAAAAATAAATACTAAATTTATATTTTATATAGAATGTATAATATATAGAATGTGTTATACATTATTTATACAGAATTTATTATGCATTAATTATTAAATATCATTTATACAATTGGAATTTATTTTCCATAGAATGCCTCATATAGAGAATGTATTTTCTAGAGGATGTATTATGTATTAATTATTAATTATGTATGTATTAATTATTAATTATGTACCATCTAGAATGTATTTTGCATATATTGGATATTGTGTATTAAATATTACATATAGAATGCTTTCTATATTATTATATATGTCATGTCTTTTATATTAGTAATTAATATATTTATATGAATATATATATAGATATTAATATATTAATAGATATTATTATACTGATATGTTAATATATATTTATATTTTATATAAAATATATGTTAACATATATATTAATATGTTAATACATAAAAATATATTGATATGGATACATACATTAATATGTTCATATGTATGTATTAATATGTAATGCCCTATGTACATAATGTACATATTTATATATTAAATACTGTATTATTATATAGTATAAATTATATAATGAATAATATATAACAATATAGAATAATATGTAATGTCTTATATATGTACAATATATATAATGTATCACATGTAATGTATTATATATAATGTACAAAATGTGTAATGCAATAAATATTATAATTCTATATTATTACTAATTGTAATTAATATATTGTATATTATGTATAATATAATGTGCTAATATACTGTAAATTATTATAAATACTATAATATACAACTATATATTATATATTAATATTATTAATAATGTAATATATTATTAATCTATTACATATTAATACGTTATATCCAATGTATTCAAATATAATATATTAATAAATCATGGATTAAGTATAGCGCACTATATAGAATGCATTGAATACAATGTATGGTGTTTGCAATGCATTAAATATAATAAATTCCATATAATATATTCCATATCTAATGTATTCAATATCTATAATGTATTCCCTATATAATGTATTCAATTATAATGTATTCAATATAGATGTATTCAATTATAATGTATTAAATATAGAATATATTCAATACATAATGTAATCAATGTATAACATTCAAGATATAATGTATTCAATATATAATGTATTCAATTATAATATATTCAATTATAATGTCTTTCAATAATAATGTAATCAATGTATAACATTCAAGATATAATGTATTCAATATATAATGTATTCAATATATGAATTCAATTATAATATATTCAATTCTAATGTACTCAATATATAATATATTTGATATATTCAATACATAATGTGTTCAATGTATAATATACTCAATATGTAATATATTCAATATATAACGTAGTCAATATGTAATGTATTCAATATATAATATATCAATATATATTCAATATGAAATGTATTCAATACATAATATCTTCAATATTTTCTATGTTCAATACAGAATGTGCTCAATATACAATATATTCAATAGATAATGTGTAATGTATTCAATATATAATATATCAATATATATTCAATATATAACGTAGTCAATACGTAATGTATTCAATATTTTCTATGTTCAATACAGAATGTGCTCAATATACAATATATTCAATAGATAATGTGTTATGGTCAATATATAATGTATTCTATATGTATTGTATTCAATACATAATATATTCAATATATAATAGATTTAATATATAACGTATTCTATATCGAATGTATTCAATGTCTAATGCATTCAACATATAATACATTCAATGTATAATGTATTCAATTGTAATATATTTAATGTGTACTGTGTTCCAAAATAATACATTCAGTTATGAGGTATGCAATGTGCAATGTATTCAATGTCTAATGCATTCTATATATAATGCATTCAATGTATAATGTATTCAGTCGTATTCAGTAAATAATGCATTCAATTGTCTTCAATACATGATGTATTCAATACCTAATGCATTGAATATACAATATATTCCATATGTAACGTATTCAATTATAATGTATTCAATACCTAATGTGTTTGATATATAATGTATTCAATATGGAATGTATTCAATATGTAGTATATTCAGTATAGAACGTATTCAATATGTAATATATCACTATGGAATGCATTCAATACATAATGTATTAAATATTTAATATATTTAATATATACTGTATTCAATATATGATATTCAATATATAATGCGCACAGTATGTAATGTATTCAATATGTGATGTATTCAATTATAATATATTCAATAGATAACATGATTAACTACAATATATTCAAAGCATAATGTGATCGATATCTAATGTATTCAATACATAATATATTCAGTATGTAATATATCAATATAGAATGTATTCAATACAGAATGTGTGCAATATGTAATGTATTCAATATAGAATGTATTCAATATAGAATGTATCCAATATATAACATACAGTATGTAACGTATTCAATTATAACGCATTCAATACATAATGTGTTCGATATAGAATGTATTGAATATATTATATATCCAATACAGAATGTACAATGTATTCAATACAGAATGTGTGCAATATGTAATGTATTCAATATAGAATGTATTCAATACAGAATGTGTGCAATATGTAATGTATTCAATATAGAATGTATTCAATACAGAATGTGTGCAATATGTAATGTATTCAATATAGAATGTATTCAATATAGAATGTATCCAATATATAACATACAGTATGTAACGTATTCAATTATAACGCATTCAATACATAATGTGATCGATATCTAATGTATTCGATATATAATATATTCAGTATGTAATATATCAATATAGAATGCATTCAACACAATGCTTTAAATGTATAATATATTGAATGGAATGTATTCAATTATCATGTATTCAAGATGTAATATATCCAATATATAACATTCAATTATAATATAGTCAATACGTAATGTGTTTGCTATATAATGTATTCAATAAATAATATATACAGTATAGAATGAATTCAAGATGTAATATATCGGTATATAATGTATTCAATATGGAATGTATTCAATAGATAATGTGTCCAATATAGAATGTATTAAATATAAAGTGTATTACATATATAATATATTCAAGATACAATGCATTCAAGATGTAATATATCAATATATTCAATATATATCAGTATATACAGTATATTGAATGTATGATGTATTCGATATATAACCTATTCGATATAATGCATTAAACATACAGAGTGTGAAATGGAATGCCGTGTGCATGTAACGCACTACACATATGTGAATGCCAGATAATGTGTTCAGTATCCGTCATGTGTTCCATGCGCAATGTGTGGAACATCGTGTGTTACTCTGCAGAGCGTTCCATGGGTGTGAAATCGATGGCGTGGATCTACAATGCATTCAGTATATTCCACAGACAGTGTCTTACATACAGCGTGTATATATATGAGCTATATTATCATGGATAATAAATATCATATATTAAATACAGTCTAAAGTATATAATATGTAATATATAACACATAACATAGATCATATATCATATATCATATATCATATATCATATCATATATAATATATAATATATAATATGAAATACATTGTATATTATATAAATGATATAATATGAAATATAATAAATATAAAATATATAATATAAAATATATTTAACACATATATTATACAATACATATAGAACACCATGTATTATATATTATATAATATTTATATTATATTA